TTTTGCACTAAAAAATTACGTGCCGCTTTACCGATGCTTTGTCAACAGTGCAAATCTAACGAATATGCTAATTGATCACGAATTCCCGCGTTTTGCTATTTTCTCCACAACATGAATGAGTCTCGAATTGATATTTCAGCAAACAGAATTTTATGGATATTAGTTTGAGTTATTATCTGCATCAGTGCTTATGTATTTTATGTAGAGATGTATGAGAAATTATAACCCGGCAAATATACTCGATGGTAATAAATAATTTACACGAACAAATAATCGATAAATTTGACGTTAACCTGTCATTTGGACAAAGTCACTTTTATCTTGAAATTCAATGCATAAATGGCAGATGCTTTGTTATCGTATAATAATTCTTATACGATATTAATGTTAATATAAATGTCTGTTTAGTTTCAATGTAATTTCTCTTATAGGAGTATTGAGGTAATATATAAAAATTTAAAGAAGCTTTCCTATTATCAGACTCGAGCGGAAGCTTCATCTATCCATGCTTTCTCAAGCATAATCTTACATAACTTTGTAAATACTTAATAGTAATTATTCAGCGATTAACCGATAATAATAAAGCAGCAGCGTTAATGGTTTTGCTGTTAAACGAGCGTTAGATGTGTAATAAGGGAGTGCGGCATTGTACTGTATTATACGAGCCCCATAAGTAAATTAAGCAAACACGCGTTTCTTAACGTGCACGCTCGAATCACCGTTTCAATAAATAAGAAAAATTGACAATAAAAAAAGTGACTGCAAAAAAAAAAAAAAAAAAAAAAAAAAAAGGAAGAAGAGTGACTTGGGGTTCGTAGGAGCCGTGAGATGAGGTGCAATTTGCATCTCTGCGCGAATTTCTTGCTCGAGGATTGCGAATCATTAGTTAAGATTTTCTCTTTGCTCGGTCTCGCTCTCGGTCTCACTCTATCTATCCAACAATCCATCTCTCTTGGCAAAAACGAAAGATAATACTCGAATCGATAATAATATCGAGAGGGAGAACAACCCTTATATAGGGATCATTTGATTCCCTCCGTCTTTTTGAGTGCGCCAACACGCACGTAGACGCAATTCTAAAGACTTTCCGTTGCCGTTGCACCTGCAAAAAGGTAGACGAATAATTCCAAGCTGGCGAGAAATAGAAATTGAAGAAGGATTTGTTGTTTGTCGGGGAGGTGGTGGGAAGAGGGCGGGAAGAGGAAGAGGAAGAAAGTGATAATACGCGAGTGAGAACCTGTTTTCGCTGCTTGCGCCCATGCATACGATCGAACCTGTTATTGTACTTTGAATAGATTCCCCTTCTTTATGAGCTCTTGTATTATATTACTGATGGTGTGTTGGGGGAGGGGGAAGTGGGGAGGGGTAAGTGTGTGTGTGGGGGGGGGGGGGGGGTAGTGGGTGGGGGGGGGGGGGGGGGGTAGAATAGCTAAGAAAAGAATATCTAGCCGATTGGAATGTAAAATCGCATTGTGAGCGAGGGTCGGTTGAATATTGCATGAGATTTAAAATAATTCCTATGAGTGTTTGTAAATCAGCGGCATTTGATGGGATGTTGGTGGATTGTTAAACTTGATTTTCTTATTTCATGATATTGAGTTATTACTCGAGTTAACGCATTGTGCATCTATGCCAACTGCAAGGCATTATTAGTTCCTTTGCGATGTTGCTTTTTGCGAATTTTCCTATAAGTAAAAGAAGAATGTTTGATATTAGATCATTGTAGTGCGTATGTAATAGAAAATTAATAAGTTGAGTTTGTCATGTGAAAGTTGGCTTGATGTTGCCTTGATGCCCGTCTACTCGCTTATCTAATATTACTATACATACATAATAATTACCTCTCCAAGTTCTAAGCGAAAGTAATAGAGGCATTTCAAGTCGCGAACGGACTTATATCGAGCAATGAACGATTATTTATTTACCCCCATCGAAAATAACCAAATAAATCATTTGTTATCTAAGTTCTTATGCCTATGTACGTGAATCTATTTTTAAACGCATAAATATTATAAAAATATGCTATATAGTTATACGAAATCTTGATTATAATTTAATCTCCCGACAAGTAAGTTACGCAGGTATTAAAAAATAAGGTCTTCCCGCGTCCTTGCGGATATACGAGTGTATGTAAGTTCAAACAATTTTCGCTGAATGACGTTTTAAGCCATCTTTTTTTAGGATTACTAGGAGTTGAGCGTCCCCGAGCAAATATGTGGTAAACTTTCATCTTTCGTTATACTCGTATTTTGCAATACTCATATTTTCCAACCACTGATATTACAAATTTTTCTTCCTTTTTTGCGCTCATCATTCTTAATTATTTTCTTACTTCATACAGAATGGGATAATCTGTGTTACTTGGTTTTTTTTTGTTTTTTTTTTGTTTTTTGTTTTTTGTTTTTTTGTTATCCGTTTTGAAAAACAAATGCAGATCGACTTAAATAACATTCTTGAAAGAAATCCCTAGAGGAAAAAAACTCGATCTATAGAATTTAAAGGAAATACGGCTAACGGTCGTACTTTATTTCTATGTCGATTGAAAAAATGTTTTGTTATACGTACGAGTGAAACATTTTATTATTTACAATGAAATGTGCGCAGCGTAGACAATTCTTAATGATTACTTTTAAATTATTTATTAGTAATTAGTCGTATTTTCGTCATAACCAGATAATTGAGAAATCGGTTGAAGTAACGCCATAATTTTTAAACTTACTACTAACGAGAATGTAATTGCCTTAAACGAAGGCCCAGTTTCCATCTTCGGCATCGCGGTTCTTTTCACTCTTTTCTCTTTCTTTCGTGATTGATCCCACGGCTATTCATCGAGCTCGAACAAGTTTCTTCCACTTGTTACAAACTTCCCTCCCAAAGGAGCGTTACCGCTGGATGACATTAAAGGAATCGCCGTTTTTATAGCCGTATCTTAAGATAAATCTTCAAAAGGTAATTTCCGTGCGACAAAAAGTGCCTCACTCTTAAGGAAATACGTCGATACGAATTCGAAATACGGTCAAAAGTAATGTGTCGGCGATTAAATTTGAACTACTTTAAATTACTAGTAATTCGAAATTTAAACTTTCGAAGCTCACGCTCTTATGGATTTTCCGTTGCTTGGCAATTATCAATTTTACGATCAGCAGACTTTAAACCAAATATCAAACCTACAGCGAGAACGCTTAAATTTATTAGTTTCCTAATGTCCATTAAAGTTAATTGAGTTATTATTACTTATGATTCGATGGCATTATCGATTACGCACTACCATTACCACGACCACGACTCCCCTACCCTCACCCCCTCCCCTCGCCGAGCTTCACCATTCACCCATACGTCCACCACCCTCCTCCGCGACCTAATCCGCATTATAACGCGCACGGAAAAATTGTTTATTCTTCGAATCGTAAGCGCAGCGCTGACGGTCAGCTCGCCTAATGGCCGATTAGATGCATTGGGATAAACATCAAACTGAGAAAGCTTAAGTAGCTTGTGTCGTCGTCGTCGTCGTCGTCGTCGTCGTCGTCGTCGTCGTCGTCGTCAATGCGTAACGTTTAGTGTTAATAAAATCAAGGGCGAGTCAATGAAATTAACTTTCACTCCGAAGGATTCACGTACGCGTGGTTGACGGGCCGCGGGGTGGACTGAGAGGGACGAGAAAAAAATGCACCGACACCACCACGTGTACCTCCAACGCTTCACACAAGATTCTATAGCCAGGACGTTAAGGAGGGAAAAAGTGGCCGCCGACGACAGCGTATATCCCTTAGCGACCCGATTCCGGCATCTCGAGCTAGCGAGCGAGGGGGAAACGCGTAGTACTACGAGCTCGGCGAAATGGAAATCGCGCACTTTACGAGCCCGGCAATCCCAATAAAGTGCATTCGATGCAGCGATAAACAAAGGGACGACATCGGCTTCATCCCCTTTTCTCTTCGGCAGGACGAAGCGAGCGACCGCGAGAACGCATTAAAGTTTCCGCGTTACGAAATTGAAACGAAGTTGCGGCTCGTGTCCTCCACCTCCGTGCGCGACATTGTGGTGCACCACGGATTTACGAGGCGGGCCGCGCCGAGTCCTTCCCCTGATCGGTTAAACGCCTCGACCTTACCTAGCTGCCTCATATTTTGACGCTTAAATATGCTCCGAGCTTTCGGAAAGCTACTCCCGAGGCGACCCGCCACCCCCACCACTTGTCCCCACCGCCATCCCACCGCCATCGCCACCGCAACACGTACACGCTCGCGCGCTCCGACCGCTCCGCCATGTGCGTGCGAACTCGTTTATTATAATTTTCTAGGAGGTCGAGGCCCTACATGGATTTGTTGTGCCGTGTTTCGCTCCTTCGCTCCCCCATTACCATTCCTACCTCCTTTTCGGCTCCTTGCTCCCTCCGAATACATGCATACGCTTAAAATTGAGGCCTCTCGCGCGCGCCCGGCCAAGCAGCCCAAACCTGCTCCTTTTCAGGACTTCGAATGCTATAATAATGCCGCCGATGCCCCGACTCGATATCAGCCAGCATAACGAGCCTCCCATAACGAGCCATTTTTTTTCATATTTTACAAAGCGGTGTTGAAAACTAGTCTGAATTAATTAGCGAAACTATGTGTCGCTCGCGTCCATGTCCATTATCCAATACCAACAGTCTTATTATTAGGTTAGAAATTAAATTACAGCAAAGTATTTAGTCTGCCAATTTGCATCTGTGATGTGTATCTCTTTCTCTCTCTCTCTCTCTCTCTCTCTCTCTCTCTCTCTCTCTCTCCCTGTATCTCTAATCGCCGTGTTGAATTATTCAATTATTACGATGGTACGATAATGGCATCGAGTCTCAGTGGCTACCGCTGGCCGCGTAAAAAAGTGTCCAATAATAAATAATAAATGAAAATAAGCGAGCGACGGGGAACGTGAGCCGGCGCAATTTAACGGACGCTCGGCAAATTCGTCACCTACGTCCCTACGATCGGCTGATGGTTTTTCTCTTTTCATTTTTACAGCTGCACCTCCAAGTACGTGGGCGAGTACTGCCAGTATCGGAATCCATGCCTGACGGGTCACCGCTGCCAGAACGGCGGCTCTTGCTACGTGCGCGACGACACCAACGGCGCGCCCTCCTTCTTCTGCTCCTGCCCCGTCGGCTACTCGGCCAGCCTCTGCGAGATCAAGATCGACAACGCCTGCGACTCGTCGCCCTGCGCCAACAACGGGACCTGCGTCCTACACTCCCTCTACGACTACACCTGCTCCTGCGCTAATGGATACACCGGTGAGTGCACGTACCGCCATCGTGACTCGTCTTTCTTATTTCATAATTCCGTTGCATCGTAAGCCCACGCACGCTGGATGGGACTCCAAAGCTGTGGTTCGCAAAGGCAGGTGGACGTCCATCCAAATTATTGCGAGTGCATTCTACAGCACGAACGTATTCGTAAATGAATTTGTAATTTTATACCCAAATGGACGCGTAAAAGGTATTATCTGACCACCAACACCACCACCACCACCAGCCCCCCCCCCCCAAAAAAAAAACCAACTCACATCACCGCGCCATTTAACGCCCATTATTTATAAGAGCGATTATCGAGTTGCGCAACTTAAATATTACAGAGTCTTTGTACAGGCTTCTTTCTTTCATTAAGGTAAGGCTTTTATTTCTTTTATCTCTGATCATTTTCCCGTATTAAATAATGAGCAGGCGTTTGGTAACTTATTTTAGGAAGTTTTTCGTGTTTTTGAGATACGATGGAAAGAAACATTTTCTTTCGTCGCTTTATACATTAATGTATGCAATTCCATTAGAAAGTAAAAAATTTTGAAAGAAAGAAAAAAATTCCTTTAACAAAGTAACGATGAAGTTGGAGCAGTGCCGAGGCTTTGTAAAATAATGATAGAAATTGTCAAGGGAATAAATTTACTTAAATTACTAAAAGGATCCACGAGAGAGTGTATAATTTCTAGACAAAAAGAGAATAATTCATTGGAAGGACGTTTTGTGTGTCGGTGAAGAAAAAAATTCCCTAGAAAGCGAATGAATATTGTCGGAGAGAGAAAATTTAATCTTATTACAATAATGATTTTAACCTGCTGAGAGACAATTTTATTTTATCTATCAGAGCTTTCTATCAATCGATCTACTTAAGCAAAATGTACTTAAATTGTCATGAGTATACGAAGCGACAGATGCGCTTACGCACACGCACGCACGCACGCACAAAAGCACAGGCGCTCACGGGCACACACATAGAAAACTGAGGAAAGAGGGAAGATTAACTCAATTAATATGACATGCTTCAAAGAGGCTATTTCACACTGTTATCGTTGTAAAAGATTAAGCCCGCTGAGAGCAAACAAACTAGTTGGTATGATCGCTTAACTGCTTGACACTCTGAAATTAATACAAAACAATAAATACGTAAAGTTTTCTTAAAAGTCAAGTTGAATAATTCACGTTTTATCTGGTATTTTTATGGTAAGTTATTAAATTATGGAAAATAATGTATTGAAGATGTTAAGTTATCAAGTTGAATACAATCCTCTTTATCGTACAAGGATAATTGGCAAAAAATTGAAAAACGAACGCTGCCTAAGATTGATAATTTTCATTGAGATAGACGAGTAAAAATCTCACTGTGGCTTGTGTGTAAAAAAGACGTCGGGAATAAGTTTATAAATGAAATAATATTCATATAATAGTGATTTCGACCTCCATCTATCAAATCGTACACGCATACGTTTTAATGGCAGTAGTTCCAGAATTGCTTCGAAATGCCTCGTAATAATAATCATAATAACAACAACTACGATACTAATAATGATAATAATATTATTGTTACTATTATTATTAATGAGATTGGTAATGGCAACAGTAGCAACAGTAGTAGCAGTTACAACAATAACGACGACAACGACAACGACAACGACAGTAGTAATGCGCGATATATTAATAATGTGCCAGTCATAAATCACTTTATTTTAAGTAAATATTCAATGCAAAATCATTTACAACCGCTATAATAATGAGATATACTCTCAATGTCTAACCACACGTATCCTTGCAAGGAGTCAGTTCGCATGAAATTCGTCATTGAATTGGTTAATAGCACCGCGTGCCACAATCAAATTCGAAATTTAATTTAGCTCCGAATAAGCATAACGCACGCAATTACAATCGAAGCGCTAAAATAACTTGCAAGAATTTTTTCGGGAAGCTTAAGAAAGAGTGCGAGAATCGTTGGGAGTGCGCTTCGTCTTGATTTCTTACTCGGAGCGTCAGTGATTCAGAACCGATAAGATCGCGCGAGCAACGCTGTCGGATCGGACGGCAGAGTCTGCGAGTGCCGAATTTTCGCGAAAAGATAGGCTAGGATAAGGGGGGGGGGATAAGACGGGCGAGCTACCGACCGTCGTCCCGAGTGGGTCAAAGAGGGGCGGGGGTACCTTAATTAATATGCACGCGCAGAGGTAAGCGATGCTCGCCCCCGAGGTTCTCGTTCTTCATTTTTTTTTTTTTTTTTTTTTTTCATCGGGGTCTCTCGTTTCTCCCTCTTCAAAATGCTCCGCTTATTAAAAATTTCGAATAAGTGGATAATAAATTATTGCCAGAGGTAATTGGTGAATATTGGTCGCGATGGGTGGGAAGGTGTGTGGAGGGTGGAAGGGGAGAACGAGGCGATCGGAGGGTGTATACGAGGTGACGGTGATGGTGGTTGCAAGGGGTTATGGCGAAGATGATGATGCGGGGGGTGGGGGGTGGGGGGTGTGAGATGTAGAGCGATGTAGAGAGAGGTGTAGAGAGCGAGAGAGAGAGAAAGCGAGGAGGTGCGTCGACTCGCGCGTATGTTGTAATAATTGTTAACCGCAAAGTAATTGTGTAGGAGAAATATAACGGAACGAGAAATTACTGTAATTGAGTACCGATGAAAATTGAGTGCTATAAGGTTCCATTGACTTAGTGTGCTCTGTCGAATTTCACGACGCTTGCTTTATTTTATCGGAGGCAATTCGCACGAAGAACTCGTATTTTATTCGCTGCTTTCAATGGCACATTAACAGTTTGCTCAATATAACTTATTTATAGGTGAGACGTTTTTTTTTAACTACTCTTATCTTCTGTAATTTGTCTTAAACGGAAAATCTTCGGTTTGCCGAGTTTTCTCCTCCTCCCCCCCCCCTCTTCTCCTTCATTTCCATTAGGGAAGTCATCGCCGAGACGTGAGAACACCGAGTCCTTTTAATTAATTAATTAATAAATATATATTTACAATGAAAAAATGCGTTAACAATACCGCCGTGCAATTATGCAACGATGTAAAACTTATTTGTAATATCAAATTCGTAAAATGAATTTCAACGTGAGACGTTTAACTTTCGAGAAAAAAAATCGGCAGTGTTTATAGCGCGTAGTTTAGGCGAATTGGCATTGAGGGAACTAAAATAATAGCATACTTACATTTGCATAATAAATGCATAACAATGAAACATATCCAATGACATAATTCATTGATATATTTCTTGGCAGTTTAGCCAGGGATTATTCTTAATTAAATTTCAGATAATGAACCTTGTGTTTTTAATCATTGATTATATTATCGTGTAAATTACATTTTAATCGCTTTCATAATGAGACTTGCAATGATTTCCCTTTGTGCAATAATAATAATAATTATTATTATTATGATGAGCTTGAAAGTAGATAATTTATCGGTATTAAGCTAATTGATGATTATTTTTGCGCGCTTAACGTCCGCTTAGGAGATTTTATTTTAAACAGTCTATATAGCATTGGAGTGAAAAATAAGAAGGATTATCCTATCATCTTCCGACACTTCTCCGGGGACTTTGAAGCCGACGTATTATCGACAAAGTACAAACATGTAAATAGACACTTGCCTAGAGAAATAGGCGAGCAAATATAAATACGCTTATGCAAATGTATTGCTAACTGATTTACGCCGACTTGTCGAATATGCACATGTGTGCGAATATACGTAACGCTTTATTACGTATTTAATAGTCTATCTCACAATATCGACAAATTACAGAGATTCAAAAACTTTAATCTCATTATAATGTTTCTGTTTTACCGTTGGTCGTCAAGTTTCAGGTGTCTCGATGAAATTGCACGGTTAGGAAAACAGTCTGTTTGTACAAAAATGAAAAATGTTCCCTACTGGAAGGAGAAGGATATTACACATACTCATGAATATTGGATGAAAAAGTATGGTTTTTCCACGCGAATCGAATCCACGCAGAATTCCAGGGTAAATGCTACTCATTATAAATAAATTACAAGCGAGCCGAGTAATCCGCAACTTACATAATAATTCATTTCGCACACTCGATATGCCGCGCTTACATAAAGCGCATGAAATGCCCATCGATCTATTCGCACCGATAAGTCCCATCCGATACGTATATCCCGAGCGCCGTCGATCCACATTCCGGCAATTTTCCGCGACACGCGGGAGCATTGCATAAAGGCACGATTAAAAGGTAAATTACGGTCACGTCGTGTGCCGCTAGCGGACGAGGAAAAAACGGCACGGTGAGTCGCTTTTTACGCGTGTCACTCACTAACAACGCCTCAGCAGAATTATTGGTGTCGCTTATTGATTCGCGTGGGTCGGTACTTGAGGATTATGCAAATCCGAGCTAGAGACGGGGAGAGCGAGTGGGATGAAGAGCGCGATGAAGAGAGAGAGAGAGAGAGAGAGAGAGAGAGAGAGAGGAGAGAGAGTGAGAGAGAGGGAGGGAGGGAGGGAGGGAAGCAGCGAATATCTACGCCGTCTAAGTGACTTTTTATGTTGCGCTTGCCGATCGACGAGGAACGAGGAAGGTCGAACTACAGCGCCGTTGCATTGAGTTTTCGGCCTTATGGAGATTTTACGAGACCGACTAATGCGGCTCTTCTTACGAATGTCCATGACTATGCGCGGGCCTTCCATGTATATGTGTCGCGTTCGCACAACGGGGTCCTCCAGCGCAGAATCATTCGATTTTACGAGGACTGTCGTCGGATTTTTCGTACCTTATGGAGATGTCATCGTTAAAAAAAAAACAAAAAACATAAACAAAAACAAAAACAAAGATGTATATATATATATATATATATATAAAGAGCACTGTTGCACGTGTGTTTATTTTTTCTGTTCGAGAGATCGGGATATTTTCTACTCTCTGAAAATATCGAGCGCGTCGATATTTTTGCGCTTTTAACGCTTGGCGCTATTAGCTTTGATTGTTCTGTGGTTTTTTTTTCCTGTTAATTGCTGTGTGACTAGTCTTGGATGGACCCGTTAATACAAAAACGAAGATAAGCGATTCGAGTCCCGGTAAAGATACGAACAAGTATGGAACTCCACGATCTCGGTTTGCCGAGATTAACCGTTAAATTCACAAATGATAATTCAAGTTATTTTTAAGCGAAGCTGCAGGATTTGATTTTACTTTTAAAGTAATCCACAAAATCAGCCTGATGTATATGCAAAAAAGCTGTTTAGATTACTGCACGCATATCCAAGACTATAATATTATTTCTGTTTAATTACGAATACAAATAATAGCTGTGATTATTTTATTTTACAAATTTTAATAAAAAGTAGCGAGCGTGCGAGCTATTTCGAGATTTTGCATGCGGAGGCTCTTTTATGTGATCGAATGATTTAAAGGAAAGGATAATCTGGAGAAAGGCGATCTATTAATGATGCAAGAAATTTCAAGTGGAGGAGAGAGGTCCATGGTATAATTATTATGCGGTAATGTAATGTAACTCGCTCGCGCGCGTGTGCGTGACTGACTGACTGTACATCGATTCGTGCACAACAGCGTCCACGCTTCTCTTTATTTTTTCAATCGACAAATTACTTTAGCCATTTCTCGCGGGAGAAGGACTTTCGTCAATGGGCTTTTGATTATTACATTAAAAACAATTCGATGATATTGATTATCAACTTCGCACAGTAGTGGCTCTCTAGCGCACACTCATCCATCCACTTATCAAAGCTCTACAATCCATTATTATTGAATGCCATTACACAGAACAACAATTTTGCTATTATTTTTAACGGAATAATGTGCCTTAAAACACTCAATTTAAATCCAATCCAATGTTATAAAAAATTATAATTCAAGATTGTCGCACGCGTGTCCTCGAGCATACACTGCATAGAAAATAATGTGAAGACTACCCTAAAAGATATTTCTAAAAGATTAATAGACAATATTATATAAATAAAGATTCCGTGTAGAAATCTGCTTATACGAGACATTGTTGTTATGATTATGACGAGGACGATGATTATTGTAATATGTATTATTATTGGAGTTTAATTGAAAAATAAATATTCGATTAAGATTCAAGTTTTAAATCTACTTTATAGAAGAAATAATAAAGAATAATAGATGTTGTCGGGAGTAGTTAGCTACATTTCGATTTTATTTAATAGTGTTCGGAGATAAAATTTTACATTCAAAAAGCATTTAGTGCATTATACCAGTGCAACTGAATTAGGTGGGTGGTGATAAGGGTGATGATGATGATGAGGGGGGAGGGGGAGGAGGAGGAGAAGGTAGGAGGAGTAGGAGGAGGAGGAGATGGTAGGAGGAGAAGGTAGGAGGAGTAGGGGGAATTTAGGGTTGTAGGGAGGGGGAGGAGAGGAAGGGAGAGAGGTACTCGTGAATATAAAGTAAAAGATAATCAAAGCCAAACAATCTAACTGTAAACCTCTGTATGCCCCTATTTCCTATTACGCGAAACCTTCAATAATCGTAAAATGTTGGGATAATTAAAAGATAGTCCGGGTAGGATCGAATCGACAAAAAATCTTCAACGATTTATCTGAATCCATTTGTCTCGACGTGCCTTTACCAAAGAATCGAGCATCACGGAAAAGCTGGTACTGCTCGTAGCATCGATATCAGCGAGCAAAGGTTCCCTTTGGGTAATTAGCTGATTAGATTCGCTCATCGGCTCACTACAGGGTGCATTACGTCTGAACACGTGCAGTGCCGTACAAATCTACCCTTGGATCGGCAATTGGGGCGGGGGGGGGGGGGG